TATCCACTATTCCATCAATACCGTAGGCTCTACATTAGTCGCAGTTAGTCTGGGAGCGCGGACCCTTGTGTACTAATCGTCCCCCACGCCAAAGCCATGAACACAGCGCTGAGGCGCTGAACAACCCCAGAGAGCCGTGTGGGCCAGATGTTTTTGGAAATGAGCAATAAACACTCCCCTCTACACCCCTGCTTTAGCACAGCCGCGCGCCCAGACTAGCTGCGACTACTGTACGCCGTATCGTTGCTGTACTAACAGTGGTGTTCCGGGTTCCCTCAAAGAGGGGGTTGTGCGTGTGTTGGCATCGGTTTGCCGAGGGAAATGCTTACCTTTGCACTACTCAATCCCGAACTCCTACTCTATCCTGAACTCCTGCATCAATCTTTGCATGTTTCCAAACTTTCTATTTATTGCATTGTTATTTATTTTTGTTAATATAGTCTATCCTGTTGTTATTGTTATATCTTGTACCTGTACAGAGTTTATTATATTGTTATTTTTCTGCATGTTTCATCTGTTTTCTTGAAGTTTATTCTGCCTCTTTACTGAAGTTTCACTCGGCTACTGTTTTGCATCATTGTATTGTTCATATACTGGTTTTGTTTTTCGAACACTGTATCTCGTTTTGTCAACTTGCTCAGATAGTTTGTTATTTATAGTTGTTACTTATAGTTTGTTATTCATAGTTAGTTATTTATAGTTTGTTATTTATAGTTGTTATTTATCTTTTTATGTCTTGTTTTGAAGTTTTGTTTTCCAGTTTTTTTTCACTACTCTTGTACTGACCTGTGATTTTTTTTTCTGCTTCTGATGTAAGATTATTGTATTTACATGTAAAAATGGTGCATCCGTTAATTAATAAAATAAATAAAGAAGAGATTGACGTCACGTCATGAGAGCCGATAGAATTGTGCGTCATGTAGCGTCCCGTGAGCCTTGCGTAAACTGGACCCTTTCCGTAATGGTGGGCAGATTTTCCCATCCTTGTTAGTCAGTCGTGACGTCACGTTGATTCGATCGATTCGGGAAGTCGATGTAGTTCTAAATATCGTCTATCGATATTTGATCGTTATTCGCGTCGAATTCGTTAACATAACATCATGTTTGATGGTTATGGTTGTAGGTTGTTATTAATGTAGGTTTAGGTTGTTTCTCTACAATCTATGAATATGAAGTATGATTGTGATAGTCACAGTAGAAAACGCTTTTAAATTTAAGTTATAGAACGGTCTGTAAATTAAATTTACCGCTCATATGCAAATCTAATTGTATTATCGGTAATAAGGAGCTTATAACCAAGTTGGACTTGGCTTGTGACCAAGTAAAAGATAAACAAGAACTTGAAGCTATTATAGTATTATACAGGTTATGGCCAAAATCCTGCTTACAAGCACGCCTGCAAACAAATTTGCTATACGTAGATACTTCGGTTTCTTGCAATTTTAATAGAAAATTGGTCGTATGTATTAACAAAGTGTAATTTCGTTTCCACTTGATCACCATCATTATTATCTTCTGTTGCCTCCATTTAAAATCCTCTAATAGGCCTAGGCCTAAGTTAATACTTAAGTCATAGAAATATAAAATGTATAATTTAAGTTAAACTAGGCCTTGGCCTATCCAGAAAACAACTTCTCGTAATTTAAGTACGGGTATAAATTAAAAATTAAACTAGTGATTGAGTTATATCTGAAAACACGATTAACAACTTTTCTTTCGTTACGCTTGTCGACATTACATGCAATCCAACCAAACAAAAACAAAGAAAGAACCAAAGAACGAGAATCTAGAGTCCTGAACCTAACCAAGCAAGATTCGAGAAAGAAGATGGAATAGTGATGTGCGATACGTATCGTATCGTATCGGAATATCGCGATACGCGAGGGACGATACGATATTTCGATACGATATTTGAAAAACGATACGTATCGTATCGCCTAAAACGATATTTGTATTTATATCGGCACATAGAGCGATACGATTCATGTCAAAACGATATTTTTAAGCTTTTTTGCGCAGGCCGAGCAAACTGCAAAATCTGTACTCTGTGGATGTGTAGTTTGAAATAGGAGTTTTTTATGTCTGTATTTTTGGTTTTTACTTGATAATGTACCAGTCCCATCCACTGAGCTAAAATTATAACTGGAGGTAGCACAGCCATGGCAGAAGTCTGTCAAAAGCGTGTCGCTGATTTTGTTAGGTTGGTATAGCAGTGGGTTTTCTTATCATAGCAATAACATGGCTTCTTATAACTAGGTTGGTATAGCAGTGAGTTTTCTTGTCATAGCAATAACATGGCTTCTTATGACATGACACCCGCCTCACGCAAACATGGCGGCTGGCGACACGCATCTTTGACATTCAGTGCTACCTCCAGTTAGATTGATAACTCAGTGATCCCATCCCAGTCCATTTCCACTAGCGTGCTATGGCTATCTGGCAGTCTGGCACTAGCAGTGCAGACTGCAACTGGAGTCTAAACCTTCGCTAAATCATCACGATGTTGTCCCCTGGCGCTGCGGAGTGGGGGAAATGATTCTCCCTCCACCTCCCCTCTAGACGGCTTCCAAACAAGCCCGCGTTGTTTTACATGCATATCATATACCTTATGCTGCAGTTTTTCAATAAGTTAAAAAATGAATATTTATAAAATTAAACTGTCATAAGCTAACCTAACCAACCAAACATGCTGATTATATAAAAAAATATATAAAATAATAATCGAATGAAGGTTTACTAATCGAAAAAATAGTTATGTTCATAAAATAAAATTAGAAATGCCTTGAATTCAATTTTAGAATTTATTAATTATAAAATTAAACTGTCATAACCTAACCAAACTAACCAAACTTGCTGATAATGAAAAATCGAACAAGGTTTACTAATAGAAAAAAAAATAGTTCTAAAATTATAATGGCTCAAATTGAATTTTATAATGTTTTAATTAACAAATTAAACTGTCATAACCTAACCAAACTAACCAAACTTGCTGATAATGCAAAAATCTTAGACAAAAAATTAGTGGTACCGAGAGGATTCGAACCTGGTACCTTCAGATCCTCAGCCCGGCACGTTATCCATTAGACCACCGAGGCCGGTGTCTACAAACCGTATCGTTGCGGTAATGGTGTTCCCTCAGCCAATAGAATGCTTTGCTTCCCCCACTCCGCAGTGCCAGGGGACAACATCGTGATGATTTAGCGAAGAGACTCTAGTCAGACTGCAGACTGCAGAATGTGGGAACTGTCTGTGGCTGTGGCAATTACATTAATGTATCTGCAATCCTAAAATGCTATGGGAAGGATAGGGAAACAGGTCCAAGACGTAGGGAGTTGTGAAGGAAGTAGTAAAGGCGAGCGGTGTGGAGTGTGGAAATGGAAATATGTATCTGCAATACTAAGACTGTTTTCAGAGTAAACTAATGATTTTCCTCGAGCAAAGCTTGGTCCCCAGGTACTTATATAAATTTGCCGTTTCTAGGTTAGGTAGGAGAGGGGGGAAACGATACGATACGTATCGTTTTTCGATATTTTTGACGATACGATTCGCGTATCGCGATACAGACGCCCGATTCGATACGGCGATACGATATTTTTTTCCGATACGTATCGTATCGCTGTATCGCGATACGCGTCCGTAGATGGAAGCGTTTCGTTTCAGCGATTCTCAAGTAAAGTAAATTAGGGGTATTCGATATCGACTATTGACTTGTGGAGCTATGCGATACCAGTACGATAACTGCATCGCATCAACGATGACGTCACGACTGACTAACAAGGATGGGAAAATCTGCCCACCTTCCGTAATTCCGTCTGTCTTCCTTCGTCTTGCCTCCTGCGAGCCTTTCAAGACCGGAAAATGCCGCGCGTCTGCGCATGCGCAAGTAAGCGTTATTCGTATCACTTGTAACAGCTGCAGCTGTTTCAGAAAATCACACTAGTATCTTCACTGCAACTCTTGCAACAATCTACTTGAAACTGGAACGGTTCTCCCGCGCTTAAACTCCAAACCATTTAATTACTGTAACTGAATGAAGAATTTTACAGATTATGTTTATGTATGTGTTACATTACTTACTGTAACCTCTGGCACCTCCTTTATTTTATAAAACAAATTTTAAGTAACCTGGGTGGGCTACGTTACCGTTATCATCTATTCATCTATCTTCAATTGTACCCAAACATGTTTTCCAAAAGAGAAGATCCCAATTCTCATTTCATTTTTAATGGTCTAAGCTTTTTAAGAATTATTCATTATTGGAATCTTGTTTTCAATGAAATTTATAACAAAATGTAAATGTTCAACAACGCTAATACATAATAATTTATTTTATTCACTAGCGCTTTCAGAAACTAGGTTTCCATTCAAAAGCGCTAGTGAATAAAACAAATTATTTTATTGGCCTTGCCTTGTTGAACATAGCTGGCTTATTAATTGGAATCCTTCTGTACTTCTCGTCCATAAACTAAAAATAAACTTTTCCACATAAACTACAAAGTACTCCAGTGTTATTGATGTCTTCCATTACTCGTATTTCTCAGAATTTTCGCATTGAAGAAGGAGCACATCATCGATAATAAATGACCTCCGCAACACAGCAGCAATCAAAATCTATCAATAACATTAACCCCAACTTCAACTCAGACATAACTCGATCATAACATAAAGAATAACAAACGATATGAATAATAATTATGTTATGAGGAACTAGTTGCAGTTGCAGTGCAGTCAAGATAAATACTACGACAACGACGCTAGTTAGAGGTTAGTGACCGTGACTTTCTGAAATAGCTGCTGCTACGCCACCAGTTACTAGCGCATGCGCAGAAGCGCGGCATTTTCCGGTCTTGAAAGGCTCGGTGCCTCCTTGCCTGTTTTTGTTTTTTTTTGTTGTGGTGTAAAGATTATTCAGTTCACTCGAACAGATTGTAAATAAAATTGTGATTAAAAAAAAAACTCACTGCCACTGCACTGCTCGTTCAAGCTCAATTATCAACAGATCATCATCGTAGGATAAGGATCAGGTGTTTTCGTTTTGTGCCTAGCCTATTTTTAGCTGTCATAATTAAAATTAATTGCTACTAGCTACTAGGCCTATTGCTAGCTAAAGCTAATGCACAAGTCAATATTATAATTATTATTTTTGTGTATTACTGTTGAAAGTACTAGATTGTTCAGAGATTATTGCCGGGGCCTTTCAACAGGCACTTTTATCAAAATACTTTTTAGGCCTAACCATTTTTTTTTTCAAATTGAATTTCAATTTCAATTTTCAAGTGAAAGTTACCTACTTAGGCAGTCTTCAAAAACCTCCTAGAATTGAACATTAGGCTACTCATTTCCCCGGGAGCTTATTTACTTGATAATAAGCCTAGTATTGCATTGAATCACTTAAGTAATGATTAAAAGTATAAAATATTTATTTCCCTGTGTTTTAATCCTTATTTTATTAGGAAATGTTCAAAGTGGAGAAAACATAGAACCAAATCTTGAGGATGTTGCTAGAGGAGAAGTTCAAGTAAGTTAGATAGCCTACATTTAGTGGAAAGAACCTATTAAAATATTGAAAATAAAACATATAAGTTACTTATTAGGCCTATCAAGTTTATTTATCAAGCGTACAGGTTACCAAGTGATAAGAAGGTTCAAAGTCTACGCGATAACAGTGAGACACTTGGAAGGCCAGTTGTGACAGTATTGTTATGTTATGTTAGGTTAATTCATATTATTAACCTATCATATAAGTTAATATAATTCGGCTGCACTTTACTTTAGGTCCTACACAAACAACCGAATGAAAATATTGTCATTGATTATTCGATTGTTTCATTCGATACATCGTTTGGTTTGTTATATATATATAACAATATATCGATCGGATATATCGATCAATATTTTTATTCGAATGAGTGTAGGACCTAAAGTAAAGTGCAGCCACGGACTTAAAGATTAACAAGCACTAGTCATAACCTTTAACAGAGGTTATGTTTTGGTTACAAGTTAACAACTCATTGCAAAATACCTTATAATCAGCTGGTTGGTGCCTTATAAGTAATCACCACAGTACAGTGAAACCCCATTTGATTAAGCTGGCGGCAAACGGCTGTTTTCTGGATTGTTTCCTTGCGTGGGAAGTTTGTCAAAACAGTGTTGTGTAGCGTGACTTAAACGTTTTTTTTTACAGGAATGCGGGTCGCACTTTTTTTGTTTAGAATTTATAAGGACCATAACAGACAAATTTTAATCTAAATTGTTTTTTTTTTATATCCATTTTTCCGTTTTTTATGGGAGAATAAACATAGGCTAAGTTTACAATAACTTTTGAACCACAATTTTTACAGCAATGGGAGGTTGCACTATGTTGTTGAAAATGATTTAAGGATTATCACATGGGCTACTTAAGTTTATTTCAATATAAACTGGCTTTTTTTAAAAAAATATGATTTTCTCTTTTTAAAGGTTTTTTGGTATTGTAGGCCTACTTTCCTGTCAAGGGAAAGATTCATTATTATCGATGTTCTTTTCGATATATCAATATTTTTGTTTTCCTTTACGATCCATATTCCATCTGTTTTAATATCTTCAAACACATTTAAATTACAGACGGACAGACATAGCAAATATGAAGTTACTTCCGGTTCAATAACCGAGTTATTGAGTTATAGCTCGTATTAGAGATTAGGATTAAGAACTAATCTTGTTAGGCAAAAATATTAGCATATATTGGATTAAGAAATTAAACTATTCTAAACTAACGTAGGCCTACCCGGTAACTTAATTAACCAAACTTGCTGTAGTGTAGGCTAAGTTATCATTTTAAAATTCCGTTTGATTATAACATGTTACAGCAAGTTTGGTTAGTTAAGAACAGTTTAATTTCAATATAATATATTTTTTATTGTTAATACTGAACAATATTTATTTATCGTAGGCTAGTTGTCAGCTGATAAGTTTCAATTTTATAATTTCAATCAAATAAAAATATTGATAGCCTATATCAAAAAGAAATCATCGATAGTAATGAACGTTCCCTTTAACAGGAAAGTACAGTTTTTTTTTAAATCAGTTAACATAGACTAATCAACATTAATAATCAAAATTTCCAAAAAATAAAAACACCTGGAGATATCTTACCAAAAATACATAGGTAGGAATTTAAGTTTAAAATTTTCTTAAAGTTCTCCATAACCAATAATTTAACCGTAAAAAAACACATGAATATACTAAATTATTTGTTTTTTTAAACTCTTCAAATAATTTAGAGGGAAATAGAAACTTTATGTTTTAAGGGGTCAAAAATGTAGAAACCCAATTTTTACCCAATAAAAACCACCATAAAACGCTGTTCACATGGTCCGATCATGCTGGTTCGTGAACTCATTCAAGTTTATCCCATGCTCTCCACCTTCAAACCAAATTTTATTAATATTTCTGAAAAAATTTTATAAGTTTTAGTTAGATACAGTATTATTTGTTTGTTAACATTCATATATTTTGTTTTTGGTTGAATATTAATAGTTTCATTTATTAAACACCAATAAAAACGTAAACAGATCATAAATCAATTTTATGTTTACATAAACAAATTATTTTAGAAACTACTGTTACCCGGCGGTTTTGCCCGACATACTTGTTATGAACCGGCTTACTGAAGCTGGGACTTCACTATAGGCTAACATAACGTTTTTATAGGGAAGATTTGGGAGTATAAATTCCCTTGAAGGGCTTTAGTATCTGAGCAGAATGAGCAAAATCAAGACACCATTGGTCAGCAATTCCACATAATTAGTTCGCTCTTCTTACTCATAAACCTTATTCACAAACCTCTCATCACTTTATTTTTATCCATACACTGCAAAACATTCCTGATGAATAGCAGCTGTCCAATATGTTTCTACCATTCAAAATCCTATGACCAAACAGCTTGTTCCTCATACTTGATGGGATTTTTGTTTGTTTCCCACATTTTGAGACCCAGTAAAATGTAAGATGCCTGAAGTTTTGAACTTTTTTGTGGAAAAAACATTTGCCTCTCTAACTACGGTATTTATACTTGTGTTTTTCATTTCAGAGTTGTCGAGGTTGCTCTCTAAACAGACTACCTGATGTGAAAACCTTCATCTATGGTGATTTACCCAAATAGTATCCTTTAATAACATAGCTAATATTGTATTGTTTGGGTTATTCTTAACATGGTATAACGTACATTTAGTTAGCTCATATCAACGTATAGATTAATTAGAACTATTTACTTGCACATCTCAAAGAACAAGGGTATAATGACACCTGACAAGATCCTAAGAATCACATTTGAACAACTGTGCTATGTCGTTGCATATTAATGATCAAATCCTTGATTTATTTTTCTCGATATTTAAATAGCTCTAATTAAAATTAACAAACAAATATTACTGGTTAACTTTAACATTATACAGTTTGTGGAACAATGGACCTATCAAGTAAAGGCATTGACTAGGGCCTATAGGATAATGATGGTAACGGTATTTTTCTGTGCTTCCGATATACAGTTACCTATTGTACTTGTACAACAAAACTGAGCCTATTCAGGGCGAGATCACATTCAAAACATTGTAAATTTTAGTGATTTATACTTTCAATCTAAAATATTACGACTTTATAGGCTTACCTCCACAGTAGTCAAAATTTTGGCTAACTTCAAATAATAAAGGTGTTCAAAGATGACATGTTTCGTTGCAATGCAACATCCTCGGAGCTTTACGTCAAAAACATCAAAATAATTTACACTTACAGTACATCTTTGTTGAATTTAATGTTCTGAATTGTGTTCGATAATCTTAATTTGATGTTTTTGTATTGCACGGCTATTTGTGCCTGACTGGCTGAATTCATAGCATTCATTCTGATAATAAAAAACATTAAATTAAAATTATCGAGCACAATTCAGAACATTAAATTCAACAAAGATGTACTGTATGTGTAAATTATTTTAAAGTTTTTACCTAAAGCTCCGACGATGTTGCATTGCAACGAAACATGTCAGCTTTGAACAACTTTATTATTTGAAGTTATACACAATTTGGACTACTGACGGAGGTAAGCCTATTAAGTCATAGTCCAGGGGCTATCAGAATGAATTCTAAAATATTAAATTCATTAATTTAGGCATAGTACCTAATCTGTTTTGTTTTTATAACGCGTATCTTTAAGCATTTGCCTGTATACTTTATTTTTCTTTAACTTTGATAGTTCTGGAGTAGAGTTTCACCCAATACCTGGAGCTGTTCCACACCTGGTCTTGTTTGATAAGTCTGATAAGGTAATTATACATTTAACTAGTTTGTTTGCTGTCTCTGTTCAGCGAAATGCTACCTATCGGGGTTTTTTAATCTCATTTATCACCAGTTGAAGTATTATTATCTATTTTATTTATCACCAGTTGAAGTATGAATATCTATTTTGCTTCTAAAATTTATGTGGGATAATTAATTGTTATGAGGCATTTAAGATAATCAGTGATTATGGTTAAATACCTCACAATACCTTTTGTTGTTCATTGATTAGGCAGTTGTGAAAAATGATTATTTTTTATATTCATAAATCTTGTAACATAAATAAACATGTTTCATGTGTGAGGAACAATATTTTTAATAAAGATAGTAATGGGTCCCTCTAAAATGTGTAATTCTTATTTCTTTTAACCCTCCGAGTGTCCATAGTTTAGGCCTTAATGTCCACCTATTTTTGGCCCCTTTGCAAGGTTTTATTAAAACGGATCTGAGAAGCTTAAAACAATGTTAATTCTAATGTTCTATATACCATTTTGTTTGGAAAATCATGGGCTTCAATATTGTATATAAAACATAAGGAACATTTTTTCAAAAAAAAATTTTTAGGTAAAAAAAAAAAATAATTTCAAAAATTTTCAAAAAAAAATAAGTTCGCGCTCAATGAAATTGTATAAATTATAGGCCTATAAATATTTGAAAATAGCCACTTTGTTCTAAATTTAATGAGGATTACAAATATATAATCATATAGCGAGGTAAGTTATCAAATAAATAAGTTATGAGCGAAAAACGGATTTCAGTACATAGCGTTTAGCTAAGAATGCATAGCCTAACCATAGCTAGGAATCTGGCTGATAATTTACATCAATATCACTACCTACTTCTTCAGGATCATCAACCAGCACTTCAAAACCACTTAAATCTTCTTATAATGCACCACGTATATCACTACTTTTGATTTTTAACACTAAAACAATGATAAACGTAATAAAACACATCAGTCATCGGTCCGGGGGAACCTAGCTGTTTACAAATACACGCACGTCAGCTGTCTGCTACAATATTTTCGGAACTAAAATGAATAGCGCTTAGAGACAGACCTCTGGAGAAAGCTTAGAATATTACGGAAAGAACGATACCTAACTCGATCCAGTTCAATCCGATTCAGTCAGTCATAGAGCCTTCGCCGTAAACGATGTTTGTGCGTCTTAAACTCGACGCGTGACCCTACACAAAGTGTGTTGTGCGTCTTAAACTCGACGCGTGACACTCGGAGGGTTAATGTTAAAAGACTTCTACATTTTTATGCCAAAAGAAACTAATTATTGAATTCTCGGTCTTCCGGTGAGAGCTGCGTCAAGTTGGTATTACACAATCTACACAAAACCAGACATCCTCATTCCTCATTGGCAAAGTGATGCCTCATCATAGAATGGGCAAAACATCTGGTTTTTTACATAGGTAGTGTAAATACTGACTTGACATGACATTGACCGCTTAAGCCTAAGAATAGACAAACTAATTATTTAAATTTGAAAGTTTTTTTTAATTAGCCTACAGATTTTAAAAAGTTCACCTTTCAGTATCGTCATCGTCAGTTTAAAATCAGTAAATTAAATTAAAATAAGCTTTGTTGCAACCGAGTGTAGTTTTGTGTCCTCCAAATTTACTTTGATATAATTGATACGCCATAGTTTACTGTATTGTTTGTGTTTTTGTCCAGCAATGTTAACTAGCTCATACTGTTAAATTAGAACTGGACAATAGAAAAGATAAATTATGAATTTGTTGGCAACTTAAATACAAAAATATAATTTAAAATTTTACTTTAAATTATCCAATCATGACCAAACGTTTTGCCGCCATTATGTGTACATGCTTCCCTTTTATGTTTACCCTCTCACAGACCCCTATAGTGCCCTCCCACTGTGTGGAAATTGCCTGTTCATCTGTGTGATACTTTAGGAAAATAACAATAAGATATTGGTCCTTTCTTCGTACCAATGCATATTTTAGTTTAACATTTCTGTTCTGCACTGCTAGTATGTAAATTAGTTTTCCTATGTAAACAGTATTTTGCTTGTCTCTGTCCAACTAAAAACCACATAGTTTCTTGTGTATATATTGATTTCCCTTTTAGAGGAAATAGTCATTTATAACTAGTAATAAACTAGTAATCTAACAACTTAGAACTTGCAAGCAAGTGTAAACCTCTCTTTTAGTGCTGTTTTTAAACCATTATTGTTTTTTATATTTGAATGTTTTTTGCATTAAAATCAGTTTCATGTTTTACTATTTTTCTTTTAATTGCACATTGAATAATATTATGTGGGTATGGAAAATGTACGCAATAAACATTTTAACAACATTAACTCACCATCACCAATAATGAACATCAAACAAAGGATTTTAAAGTGAAAATTTGTAACTTAATGATTATTACTCGATTACAGGAGCTGTACAGAACAGACCTGTCACACTTGTCTCGGCAGGGATGTAACGATTTGGTAAAAAAGTATTTCAAACTCAAGGATGAGGAAGAAGACCAAATAGAAATTCCAGCTGTCGTAAAAGAAGTCAAAGAAGAGCTGTAACCCTGTAATGTACTGTCTAGTCCAAACTTATAAGGTATGAAAATACACTAAGAAAAGATAACAAAGTTTCAGAGTGGGCTCTCATACTGGCGTAAAACTGACTTAGTAAAATTAAGTCTAGTTCTTGTGGAATTTTGTTCAAATTGTTGGAGAGATCTTTAATACCTTTTCTTAAAAGTTCAATACATCTTATTGAAACTCCTGTGCAAGAGTCCTTTACTACAAATAATCTAATGATAAACACACAGTATAGCACAAAGTAATTTGTATAGTTGCTTAAGGCTTTTGTTTAGTCTAACATGAATGTGACTAAAACACTCAATATCAATCCTTAAAAATTGGTGGTAGGTTTTGCCTAATGTGCCGTTCAAAGTACCTGTTCATAAGTATAGTGATAACTAATCATTCCACTTATTTACGTATACGTTTTAAAAGTAATGTACGTTTAATAACATCTACGTGTGTAAAAGTCTGATTAAATAATCCAATTATTTCTAAGCTAATTATAATACATTTAAAAAATGTAAATGTGTAAATGTAAAAATGTCTCATGTGCAATAGTATAGACTAAGCAACGGGACGATGTCGAAGTTGGACAACGTTAAACGTGGACTACGTTAAAAGCAGACACCGCCTCCATCAGACAACGATAAAAGCAGACAACGACGAACATGGACACATTCAAATGTGTCCAAGCTTAACGTTGCACGCAAACGATGAACCTGGACACATTTATAAGTTGTCCAAGGGTGGCGTTGCACGACACGACGAATATGGACACATTCAAATGTGTCCAAGTTTAACGTTGCATGCAAACGACGAACCTGGACAAGTTTTCAAGTTGTCCAGGGTTGTCGTTTGCGTGCAACGTTACCCTTGGACACATTCAAATGTGTCCAAGTTTAACGTTGCATGCAAACGACGAACCTGGACAAGTTTTTAAGTTGTCCAGGGGTGGCGTTGCACGACACGACGAAACTGGACACATTCAAAAGTGTCCAAGGGTAACGTTGCACGCAAACGACGAACCTGGACACTTTTAGTTTTTGAATAGACTGTACACCAGGCTCATCAAATTCTCAGTCTCGCTCGGTTGGTAAACTCTGAATGAGCTTCCTAAAACAGAAATGCCGTGAATACGCCTTATTGTTACAAGGCTTCTTTCTAACACACTGTTACTAATACACTGTGTTGTAGTGACTCATAGTCCGTGAAACACATTGTACATTATAAATTCGGAAATTTAATTGCATGTTTATTTGGTCGTTGTAAATGTTTGTAAATGTTAATAAAAAATTAAAACCTATGGGACCTGGATACACCGTGTCCCAAAAGGACGGTTCAAATCTACAGCTTTTGTTCAATATACGTGTTGCTAAGTGTCGTAGAAAAGTTAATTAAGTCTCATTTTAAAACTGCCATATTTAAGTGATTTTTAGTGCCCTTCAATAGTAATTAGCTGTCCATTGTTTTTGGCACATTTGAATCTTCAAAACATACATTTGCAATATGGAGCTGCGGCTGAAATCAAAATTTGTTAATGGTTTATAGAAACGAAATATGTGGAGTGTTTTTGTCTGGGGGTTTGTCCTTGGTTTTTCAATGATTGATCAGTCGTCAACCTCTAACATGGATAAACTAACAAAATGAAGCAAACAGATGCCTTAGATTTTAACGTTTTCGTGGCAAAACAACTGCAATAGAGCAGTCAAATTGTTATGGATTATTTAATTACGGTATGTGTAAATGGATCCTGCTCGACTAAACCTGTTTCACAATGTGCAGTCTATCGTATCCTTCGATCACATATCGTACCTACATAGGTTGAAATAATAAAACTGATTCGTTTGAGGATTATTTGAACAAAGCAGCAAAATAGCGGTGACACACAATGACAACATATCAGGCGTGTATTTGAGATCGTTAGTGAATCCACTACGGGTAATACTTTGCAAAACCGTTACGGAACTATAACTACACCCGCCACAACGAACCTGCAGACTAAAAGCTACTTTACTTTAGTCTGACTGTGTTGTCAATAAAATATCTCCTTAAAAATGAAATATTTATTCCCTATTACTATAACATTAGTTTAACGAGTTTTTGTGTATGCTGCTACAGGGAAGGCTGTAAGGTGTTTTTATAGTTCAATGTTGACAGTATAGTATAAATAAATACATTTTCCAAATTTGATAATATTTTGTTTAAAAACAAGCAAACAACAACAGTTCACTTATTCTCCATAAGAGTACTCTCCTAGGGCTCTGCCCTGCCTGCCTTAAAAGTTTCTACGTTATTCTTATGAATACACTTAATATTGGAATTTTCAAATGTATAACGTAATTTATTTCATTATATCGTATAAATTTATACGAAAAGTAATTTGAAAATGATCAGGCTGCTGATCTATCGAAATTTTGTTTATTTATTCGTTGGTTCTTTTCATCCAGTATATCTATGGAACATAATTCTCTCTCGTTGCGAATCACGGATATAGCACGGACGTAGGAGGGAAGGGAACACGGTGAGGGAAGTAATAAAGGTGAGCAGTGTTGAGTGTGGGAATTGATTAATATATCTGCAATGCTAAAATGTTATGGGAAGAGACTGTAGACTGTAGGTTAAAATGGTTACGAAGCACGAATCGATACATATTTTCGATATATGCAATCGTTTACGATAGAAATTTACAACTGAGTTGACAACAGCTGATTTTTACTCCATAGAGGCCTAAAAATGATTCTTACTCCCTAAAGAGTAAAAATGCTACTTAAGACCCGCAACGCATGCATTAAAAACGACTGTTTTATGTAGTATGACAAAAACAATATATTATGAACCCTTGATGATTCCGCTCAATTTTGTGGATGCTTCTGCAAACGCCACTTAACAAATACCATGGTGTAACGAGATAATACGTCATCTGAAAACAAATGGTGACCTGTTTAGAGTAATGTTCTTCATATCAACTTTCAATTTTATCTTTACGTTATAATTTATTTACAATCAGTGACGTGTTTGGAAATTACTTTTAGAACAATTCATTTAGTTACCAATTTTACATATTAGTTAGTACAGATTTCTGAAACATACTAGTACTTCATCTATGCTAGTAGTCTCATCTAAAGGTACCAGTACAATCGGTACATATCTAACTCATGTCATAGACTCGCGGGTATAACTCGTTAAGGGTCAAAAAATCCGAATCAGAGTACATAATTAGTCAGTCAGTCTTAACAATGTAATATATTTGGACGATTCTGGTCAATAAACCATAACCTGATAATCTAAATAAAGTGAACCGATAATATTAGGATGAAATTATTATTTTGTATACAGGATTCATGTAAACCAGAGGTTTACTAGTTCGATTCTAATAACTGAGCTGAGCGAAGCAAAGCGCTTTGGGATCGGCTTCAATGTAAAACTTTGTATCACTATCACACTCAATAACGGCTAAACATATTTTTGCCTAACTTACCAAGCTTTTCCGACAAATGTTTGGAAAGTTTTGAACGAAACAATCTCAATTTCAATCTCACGGGGTTGGCGGGAGTGTCTTTAGCCATTACAATATGGGGTCGCCGGAAGACTGCCCCCCGGAAAACTACCCCCCCAAGCAGGTTCCTACGTCATATTGACGTCAGAGACCGGGGGGGTAGTTTTCCAGTCACGGACACTCAAATTTAGTTGTCAAACAGTTCTAATCTAACCTAACCTAACCAACCAAACTTGCTGTAACATTTCAAAAATCTGTTTTATATTCACCATACGCATAAACATGTTCTATTGTCCAACGGAATTACTCGAATTAAAATTAAAATTACATAGCATGATTTGTCTAGGGGGGTAGTATTCCAGTCGCGGACACGGCTTCCATATTGGTTAGTTAGCAGATTTTGTGACGTCACGTTTCACCTGGGGGGGTAGTTTTCCGGGGGATAGTATTCCGCATCCCCACAATATGGCCTCACTACTTTGTAAATATAGCTGTCACTGATATTGATATGTTTACATTATGTTGTTTACAAATACCGCAACAATTTCAATCACGTTTTGAAATAAAAGCCAAACAAAGTGACATTAAAAAAAAATTGTCCTTACATAACGGATTTAATTAATCGCAAGTGCAATAACGTGTAACCGCAAATTAAATTGAATAACTTGGCATCATCCAGGTCAGGAACCGGAGATTCTTTGTGTATCAAATTGTTCCTGATTTTTGATAACCGGGAAAAACCTTGAATCAGTGCTGTTTAGGGCTGGGAAACTTACATTTTTTTTAAATCATCGTCGTCACTAGATTACACAAATTAGGTTTCCACTCATTGACGGCGCTTACTGATTTTATATGTACTTTGCTATGGTTAAATTGTAGCAAATTCCTTAACTAATTAAATTCTGAATTTTCGTGTGTATGTTTGTTTGTGACGCATTAATGTCTTTATTACTCAGTGTTTCACGAAAAAGTCAAGAGCACTTTTGTTAATGGAAATGTCAAATTGGATAAAGTGTTCAATGGTGAGGACTACACTATCGCCGTGCGTAGAACGGGTACTTAGCTAGTTTTAAATAAACATGATTTACACGTAAAGCAAGGTATATGTTTTATAAGTTAACTTGAGTTCCAGATTAATAGTTTAGTTTACCTTAAACATGATTGATTTATTTTCGTTAGACATATTTTTAATGAGATTCAGTAAGAAAACTAACCTCTTAACACTTGTATAAATATGCTCCAGACTCAAGAGCATAAAGTAAAGACCATGACATTTTTTTTGCAAGTCCTTAAAATCAGCATTAGAAAATACATTATACAGCTGAAAATCACATCTTAGAGTCTTCGGAGTGTTTATTTGCAGTTTTATGTATACAAAAATACTTATTTCTGACAGTAGATTTATTATCAGTGGAATTCATTAGTTTTGAATGAACGTAACCTTTTTTGGCCTAACACAAAACTGTATGATCCGATGGAAGAGGAAATCCGATGTTAAATATAGGCCAATAAACTAAAAAATATGTGATTAACCGTTACAACATCAACTCTTAGGCCTATAATATGGTGCAGCTTTAAAAATGATAATACTGTAATGATACAATTTTTAAATGCAGATTTTTTATGTTGGTAATTTTTACTGTGTCAATAATGCGAGTTTATTTAGGCCTACAATGGTTTTCAATTACTTGAGATGAACGAAATACGAATGACTCGTTTTTGTGCAGTCACACAAAATGTGTGAAAATGTGCAAATAGCACCGATACTTTTTAAATAAACCTGAACTACTATTTATTTTTTATTAAGTCACGTTTGAAGATAGAAATCTACGTTTCATATTAGTTATGTATGGACAACATATACAATATTTACATGCTAATAATAAGAAAGTCTGGTCTTTATACACACATTCCAATCAAAAATAATTTTATGTGAAATGAAGAGGCTTGAAAACCAAACAGATATTTTTAAATAGTCGCCCGAAACTATATTACGATTGGCAACGTTAGACGTATATGTAATCTTACTAATACTGTCATGATTATTTCATTCATTTAATCCATAATTTCCGGAAAACTAAAAATAATACTAAGCTATGAAAACAGAAAAAGTATAGTTCAACTAATCTGAAAGATTGGCGACAAACATGGAAAACGCAAAACAAAAGCCTGAGGGATGCATTTTCTTTATCCTAAAGGCGGTTCCAGACATGCGCCAGTCACCAAGCACGAAATATTAACGTTCAGTGATTTAGTTGTCTTGCTATTCACCGATTAAAAAGTAGACTTATACTACACACATGTGTTGTTTTCCGAGCAAGTGTTAGTTTTTCCGTCCGTAGGGAACAGAAAATATTCGTTTACTTTTATATATGCAAAAATACCGATTATGTGCTACGTCACAGTGGTGGATAGTTGTACGAAAATGTAACCGTAAAATCTGAAAACAGCCAGCTTTATTACCTAAAACATATGGGATATTGAAGTGAATCTATCCACTAGTGTGACGTCATGAACCTTCAGCATGGCGTGTTTTTCTAGTGGGGCCTTGGTCGAAATCCAAAACAATGGACTTTGACAGGTAGAATGTACAGTCAGGTCCCAAAACAAGAGACTTAAGACAAATGTCCAGATTCGTCGTTGCACGACACGACGAAACTGGACACATTCAAATGTGTCCAAGCTTAACGTTGCACGCAAACGACGAACCTGGACACATTTATAAGTTGTCCAGGGTTGTCTTTTGCGTGCAACGTTACCCTTGGACACATTCAAATGTGTCCAAGTTTAACGTTGCATGCAAACGACAAACCTGGACAAGTTTTTAAGTTGTCCAGGGTTGTCGTTTGCGTGCAACGTTACCCTTGGACACATTCAAATGTGTCCAAGTTTAACGTTGCATGCAAACGACGAACCTGGACAAGTTTTTAAGTTGTCCAGGGGTGGCGTTGCACGACACGACGAATCTGGACACATTCAAAAGTGTCCAAGGGTAACGTTGCACGCAAACGACAACCCTGGAAACTTAATCTGTCCAACTTTAACGTTGTCCGCGTGTGTCGTTGTCCAAGTTCGGCGCGGTCCCCTAAGCAACACAAGGGAGTATGTTTTATCTATGGCAATAGTCTAATAACAAAACACTTTTCTTTAGCAATTAGTTTATTGTTTGAAAGAAATATGTAGTTAGTTTACACTTGAGTTTGTTTGAATACGGGTGTGTGCAATACAAATGCAGAGTGGAACTTTGTCAAATATTTGTATTAATTTAATTGTCATTGTGTTGGTAATACAAGAAACTAATTTGGTTCAGTTTCCTATTGAAGATGTTATATAATACACTTACAATGTATCGTAACAAGTTAAGAAAATCATAATACAATTAAAATTGTATGCACAAATTATTGTATTTTATATACTAAGTTAATGAACCTTGAACTTTCTCATTGACTTTATTTTTTCTTTAACTTAAATAAATAAATAACTTTTTGATCAGCATCGTACGTGTTACTAAATTACCTGAAAATAGAAAAAAATATGTCAAATAACACTTGTGATAATACATTTACACTTGTACTTTTTACTCACAAGACGGTAAATACATATAAAAGATGGTAAGTGGTGATCGATTTTGATTGGACACTCCAATCATCATCAGACCCAATAGGCAAATTAGTATAGGGGTTTTGTTTTCTTTTTTAAACATTATTTTGTTTTCTTTCGGACCAAAAACGTCATTTGTTTATGTTTATGATCCATACCGGTATTTTTCTAGTACTCGTGGTATTTACCGTCTTATGAGTAAACAGTATAAGTGTAAATATATTATCACAAGTGTAATTTGATGTATTTTTTGTATTTTCAGGCTAACTCAGGCTAAACAAATGATTCCTAATGAAAGACTTTGACTCTGTTAAAAGCAATGTGTACTAGCCTACTTGATTTTGTAATTATACAATCAAACGTATAATATTGTGTTGTTTCTTTCCCTGAATAACACCTCTGTTTTCATATGTACAATTGTTTACAGATTTAGCTGATGAAATGTACCAGTAAATATCTTCTATTTATACTAAAAGTCAAATACCACTCACTGACTACTGTATCTAAAAAACTACTAACCATAAGAACTCAGGAATTGGCATAGAGATTCTAGGGCTCTAGGTGAGCAATAAGAAGCGTTTTCAAGAAATTCCATCAGGGCTCTGCCCCAGTGGCCTCTAAAGTTCCCATGTTATCCTTATGGAAAAATGATTTGTTTACATTTGAACAGATGAATATTTTTGGATTTTACTATTCACTAAGGGAACAGCTGGTTGTAGTTTGATTGAATTGAAAATATATGCATTTTTTGTGGCTTGAAAATCAATTGGGGTTTAGTTTTCCAAAACTGCATAACACTTTTTTGTAATCGTAATGGTATATTTCATCACTAGGGCCTAAAGTGACTCTTTTTGACCCGAGGTCAAGTATTACGATCGAGGCGAAGCTGAGGTCGGAAAATGAGTGAGGGTTAAAAAGACACTTTTTGCCCGTGTGGTGAACTATATTTTCTTCATATTGCATAATTAATTAACAAACTAAGCTAGAAAACAAAATAATTTTTATGTAAAGATAACCTCTCAAAACGACTTCCATCTTGTTTTCAATTCTGCTAATGCAAATAAGCAGCTGTTTCGTAAGTGATTCAATCATTTTGTCTATCAACTTTCTTTCATTTCACCTTGTTTTCTTGCAGACATTTTCATTTACTCACAGCAGACACAATTAAACTAACCATGATTGTTGTTGCAAAATCAATCACATATTTTTATTTTTTGCAATAATACACATTTTTTCTGTTCTGTGTTATCAATTCACCTACAAGATAAAGTCACTAAAGTAGTGAACGCTTGGGCCAGTGATGAAGTTAATAAAGAAGTTATAACTGCAAATTATTTTAAAGTCACACACTCCAGTGTAAAACATAAGCATTAGCTGACAATAGAAACTGAGTCTACTTTTACTGACCAAACCGACAGTCCATACCCTCCATAGTCCCCTCTTACCAAAAAAGATGTATTTACATTAACAGTAGACTAAGAAAAGTATGTGTTTGTCCTTTTAGTGAATTTCCCATAATAGGGAATAAGCTAATACCATAGGTCTCATGGTAAGACCTAGACCCGGGACCGATTTACTTTTTCGTTTTGAGATCCCCAGAGGCCAAAAACACCATCCGTTCAAATTCATGTGTACATAAATAAATATATATATATATATATAACTCGAGCAAAAATGATCCGATTTTGATGACATTTGGTACAAACGTGTAAACCTACGTTCATTTGAACGAGTTCGCGAACTACCATAATCGGACTATGGGAACGGGGGTTTATGGGGTAAAAATTTATTTCCATTTTTAACCCTAAAATCACAAAATTTCATAATTTCTCTCCAAACCATTTTGTAGAGCTTAAGAAAAGAAATAATTTTTTATATTGAAGCGTTGCAGTATGCCCAACGGGCAGATAATTAAAAAAATTGTAAATTTAAAATTCCCATGTTATTCTCATGGAGAAGAAATAATCTGTTGTAGTTTGCTTGTTTATGGATATATTTAAATAAAAAAGCACACCTCAATATCTTTCCCGTGGCAGAAAACCTAAGTACTCACTAAAATTAATGTGATTTAAATAGGAAATAAATCTGAAAATTTTTAGGGGATATTTGATTAGAAATCTAGCTGGGTAAATAACAAATTTGCTTAGTCTGCAGGTTTGCTGCGGCGGGGGTATTTTGTTACTTCAAGCAGTTTTACACAGGGTGTGAGAACTCTTATCACGCACAGAAAAATTTATGATAAGGCCTATCTGATAATTTTTCTATTCATACACTTCAAATTCAACCGTTTTCTATTCAAATTTACCATTGTGGTAGCCGTTGTACCAGTGTAATGCTGCTTTATTATTATTGTAACAATTAAGATTATTTGATACTTATACTTTGTGACATGAGATATGGCTATTAATTTATAGTTTAGTACTATCCCTCAATTACACCAACTCATATTGTGAGTCAAACTACATCGAATAAAGATTGAGGCAAATATTTTACCACAAAATTGTAGTTGTTAAAAGCCTATTAGAGATAAAGGTGATTGCATTCCATTAAGATCTAAGTATTTTTTCAAAGCGCTCTCATTTTCATTAGGTTGATGACAATGAGTTTACCCCAAGTTACCTGGTTATTACCTTTTGGTCATTTAGGGTCCTGGGGTGCAGTGAGGCATTCAGAAATATTTCTTCAGAATGAAACAGGAGGAAGTTCGGTTTGTCTCAGGGCTGTACACAAATTATTTGAGCTTGAACGGTTGGCTATATATCACAAAATACAAACAAGGTACAAAACTTCAAGAGTTAGCATCACTTGTACCGATGCTGATAGCCATTTCTTTGGCTCCTCCTTACTTGATTTTTCAACTCATGAGTTTCTTCAAGATAAAATATGATCTTGTGATGACATCAGAGATCATTTGCATGATCATTCCGCTAACCATTTGCCAGATCAAAAACCTTACTTTTTTGTATCACAGAAAAGATATTGGGGACCTCTTGTGATTATTGACAGACGACTTGTTTGTTTTCAGTTCAAACAAGACTCGGGCAAGAAGTAACGAGATTTTGGAGAAGTTTGTCAGGAAAACTAACTTGTTTACAGTATTTTTTGTCGTGTTGGAATTGCTGCCTATGACTGCATGGGAATGTATGCCTCTTTTGTCTAGCAGTTCTTCTGGAAATGTGACTGTTGTCAATAAGTTCTTGCCTGGTTGGTACCCTTGGGATTATTCCCAATTCCCAGGTTACCACGTCACATTTCTTTACGAGACTAACATGGCCTGCTTCAACAGTTTTTACCAAATAAGTAGTAATGTCCTCCTTTACCAGCTGACATTGATGTTGTGTGGGCATATTACTGTTTTAACTGACAATTTTGAAAAACTAAAAGAAATCGATGATCCAGAAAAGATCATAGATGGAATGAAGGTATCTTACGAAAGTAAGGGAATTGCATTTAAATCTTCACTAATGGCACTGATCTATAAAGATAAAGAAATATTGGAAAGTCTAAAACAATGTGTGAAGAATCATCAGGAAATTCTGAGGTAATTTTTGTAGTTTTATTTAGCATTGTACTTTGGCTAAAAATATTTAAAACGTGAATTTAGTAGAACTTTACTCCATAAGTCATAAGAAAGAAGGAGCTAATAGGTGGGATACTAAAAATGAATATTAAAAATATATTAAATGAGTTACTACTATAAAGCCTTCATTTCATTTCAATATCTTTATTCAATAATAATCGTACATTGAATTGCATAAAACAATATTCAATTACAGCATAGCATAGTGTCTTAATTATTCAAAGAATCTTAATAAATTATAATAAAGTAATTTGAAACCAGAGGTTTTTTTTTTGCATTTGGTTATGAGGTTCTAATATTAAAAACTTTTTAAAAATAAAATAGGTATTGTGGCACAGCTGTGGTTGTTATAGTGGATACCTTATACCCCATTTGAAAATAATGGACCCCACTTAGAAACACACAAACCGAAACCCTTGGCTTGTGAGACCCCGCTTTAAAATACACTAATGCTGGGCTTCTGAGACGGGCATGTTATGAACAGACAACCTGTCAAGGTCACGGCACCCACAAATGAACAAACAATTTATCAACAGGTACGGGAGTAAAAGGGGGGAAGGAATCCAGGAATCCCCCAAACAAACAGTGTTTCCAACGGGTCCGCGGAATTGGCTAACTCTGGAACTCGCTAACCCCATGTTAAATGCCCTATCTTCAAATTTGGTCGATGAGAGGAACTCGCTAACTTGTTCGGTTTCGGAATTGGCTAACTCCGGAACCCGCTAACCCGCTCTAGAGCCGGGTTAGCGAATTCCGTCCTCGTACGGAAGTCGCTAACTCGGTCCCTCGGCGGAACTCGCTAACTCCCAATCAGAAGCCTCGCGGGCCGTCCAATGGGAGCCAAGCACGAATATTTTTGGCCAGTGTTGCCGAAAGTGTAGTACCTATATCGTATCGGCACCATAATGTCGTATCCTACGCTTAATTAGGAGTAAGAGCAACGTAGTCGATAAAATAAATATATTTTGAAGTATGTTTAACCACAGAGAAGTTCTTATGATTATTAGGGTGGAAAATGCATTATAGTCTTACCATAGACTAACCAACACAAGTAAACTTTACATCACATTGTAAACTTTGAAGCTCGTTTTTCGTGTCTAGTTCATGTCCTGTGACACTGATCGCTAGTGTCGACAAAATTGTGTTTCTATTATTTTATAGTTAACTTCATGATTTGTTCCTTACTGTTTGGTTATATAACTAGGGGACGTGTTATTAGTTGTGATTAGAACGTTTTATTTGGTTAAACGAGGTTTTAAATTACTGAAAACAAGAAACAATTGTAAACCAAACACGACCTCTAAAGACAGTACACCGGACAGAACTAACAATACAACTATCTTCAGATCATCCATAAGGATGAGAAATGTACTAATATAAGGGAGTATGTTTTATATGTGGGTTTCTTACTTAAATAGTAGCTTATTGGTATGAAAAAGATAAAAATGCACATTTAATTTGGATCTATTACATGTTATGAAATATCTATTTTCGTAGTCCGCCATTTGTTTCTTTTATTCGAATAAATACCATTTTGTGAACTTCTGCAAATAAAATTTTTGAGTTCGTATTTTATATACTTGGCTTGTAGTAACCTTAAATCATAAATCATAATAAAATTTACACGTTAAACGTCATTACAGAATTACATTGTAGTGGTTATGTATTTTTAAATAGAGCTATTGAATTTAAATAAATATTTATCAATACATTATAAAGTGGTAGGCCTAATGTATTCATGGATTGCATTAAAAGTTAGTCTATGCATAAATACAACTTGTAAATTTCTTTTATCGTAGGCTATTAGTGTAGAACCCGGGTCATCCTCTTAATTTTGTTGAATTAATATTAATTTTACGTCTTTCAGTAGGCTTACTTTTTAAAAGTCTGGAGTTTTTTTCCAGGCTGATTCTATCTTATCCAAAAACAAAGCTATTGTCTATTGTGTAGCTCAGTACTGGGGAACGGTGAACCAAGCAATGGCTTGGTATAGTTTATATCGTTTGTGAAAGCAATATAAAGGAAACCCAACACTCAAATCAGGAAAATCCGTCAATTAGTTTATTAAAAATCGTGAATTAAAATAACCCTGTCACGTTTTATTATATGAATATTATATCTTCTCCTATTATTTATACTAGTGGGGCTTAGGTGTACAATCTAAAAACTGTTTTAAAACATGTAACATTATTGCTAAAAAATTCAACACATTTTAGAATTAGGCAACTATTTACTAGTAGGCCTACAATGCTTTGGTTCAAACTATTAGGCCTAGATAAAAACTTAGTCTATGTCATCATATTTGTACACGTAAGTTGGACGGTTCAATGACGAACATTTTATTTAAAATCTATGAATTAATTATGAAAGTTACGATGGTTGATGACTGTATTAATTAATGGTTTTGGTTTATTACGACATTACAATTAAATCTGTTTTCCGTGTTTAAGAACTTGCGTGTATTTTAGCTTATTTTCGTAGAGGTTTAATTATTTATTACCAATTAAACTAAATTTGGAATATTTTTCCTATTCTATTATTTTCTTTTATACTGATGGCAATTTATATTTAAGATCGAAATCATAAACATTTAACTGGCCATTGTACAGTTTAATAAAAAACACTTTTTCATGATTTTTTAATTGTCTTTTAATTACTTTGGGCTAGTTATCTGTTAAAAGTGGAATTGATAACAAAAAAAATAACATTTACTGTATCTTTATAGACACTGACATTTTGAAATACGGCAGTGTACGATTATTTTGTCGTACAAGGTTGGCAACGCTCCGAGCAGTGGGCGCGGCCGGGTTAGCGACTTCCAGAGTTAGCGAATTACGCCGCGAGACAAAATCGAGTTAGCGGGTTCCGGAGTTAGCCAATTCCTGACTGAGACGGTTAGCCAGTTCCAGAGTTAGCCAGTTCCGCCACACGACCGAGTTAGCGAGTTCCTGAGTTAGCCAATTCCTACGTCTCTTTCCAACATGCATTTGTGAAAATTCCTGTGGCCCTGTCAGATCGGGGTTTCAGTAAAAGTGTTAAAGGGATTTTTTTATTATAAACACTTCCAACAATAACAACTTTCTAATAAAAATCCATAATGAATTTTTAGCTTGACTCTAGTTAGTTAACTAATCGTCATCTGACAATTTAATTTTTTTTTTCAGGAGAACCATTCCTACCTAAATGTATAACTATTTTTCTGTATTTCAGGTTGTCAAAGAAACTGAATAAAGTGTACAGTGTATTGGTTGGGTCTGACATTCTACTCGCACTATTCTTATTCTGCCTCATTCTGTTCCAGCTAACAAGTGTAAGTTCTAGCTTGTGTAAGCTAACAAGGGTAAAATTATTCATTTGATGTTTATTTGGGAACATAACATAAAGCAGTGTAGGATTTGACAATCATTTCACTGAACTAATTTCATTTGTATCACCGTTCTTGCGTTCTTTGATTTGTATCTCTGCTGACTCTTGCATGAAACTAATCTTTACTTCAGTTTATACAATTAATTTTTTAACAACACCATACACTGTATAACTCACTATATTTCACTATATATATTTTTTTATTGTATATATGTCACTGTTTTTAATTAGTGGATTAGTTATTGTGTTATTCCACAGACTTTGCCTTTTTAGGTCTAAGATTATACTTCAATACAAAAAATGCATTGCAGGAAAAAGACATTAAATCCAGAGGATTGGTGAAGTTTATATTTTTGTTGTGTTATATTTGTAGGTACCAGAAAAGCAGTCAGTCAGAGATATAATCAAGTCCCTCACATTTCTGGCTAGTGCTGGTAGTTTGATTTTTATTGTATGCTGGCTTGGAAGTGAACTAGAGAAAGTGGTAAGTATATTTATGTATTTCTGACTATCAACAGAGTTGTACTTGTAAAGAGGGCTGCATTTAGGTTTTAAGTCTGAATTCTAAGCAGAAGGCATAGAGTGTTTAGAAATTCTGAGTCAAAATGATCTTAAAAAACCCATTCCGGTTTTCTAAATAGTTAGAGCAAATAAAATTATATTACTATTAACTGGATATGGACCATAATAGTTAAGAACGTTAATTAACTACATATTTTGGCTTCCAAAAAGCTGCCGTCACCATTGTATTTTTTATTTTTGATAGGTATTTATCTACCTTATAAAACTTTTTACCTTTCCCCATTTTTCAGCAGTGGAGTTTTCCCGGAATGGCGATATTCAATTGCGGAGTGGGTTTACACATCAGTTTTTAGTGGTCTAACACCCACAGCCTTTTCTTTTTCAAGGTATTCTTGAAATATGGATGACCGGCGGTCTACACAAATTCATGTCGCACAACTAGTTTTATTGATTACTGTTCATCCTCAGAAGGAGAATCTTTGGTTCTCTTTGACATTGTGAAATTATAAAAAAAAATTAACTACGAGTAGTATTAGTTTGAAGTATAATTTACTTAATTTTATACTTACAATAACTGAATCAAACCGACTAATTATTGTCAATACAAAGTTGATGTTACAGTTGAACATCATTGTTAAAATTCTCCTCTGTATAACTGCCAAAAAGTGCATGAGTAAGTGTATGTCGCAGGGTGCAGAATTTACTGCTTGGAGCTCAGTTTGAGTGATTGTCATGTTTTACAGAGTCTGTTGCTACAACACGGAGTGTTTGACAGTGGTTGGCCGCTGAGAAACGGAAGACTGAACCAGCTGTTGCCTACAATACTGCTGGTCTCAAGTAGACCTCTCACACTGTCTGCAGGATACACATACAACGCTAACTTGGAGCTATTCGCCTCGGTAAGAGCATTGTAACTTTTATTTGATCAAATATAACATACAGTAGAGTTTCGAGTATCAGACCTAAACCGACTTGAAGAGCGCATATAACACATAAGTTAGTTGTAAACCATTGTAAGCATATTATAATCATTAATCTACTTTAGGTTCTACCATTGACTAACAAGTAGAAAATTGTTAGTTCTCATCGCCATTATAAAATTTGAAGCCTGTTTTTACATGTTGATTGTATTGGTGAAATTTTGTCCTGTAGTGTCAAGACAATTTATTTCTCTCATTATAAGGTAAATTTTATGATGTGTGCTAATTCAGTTTATTTATAAAACCATAATGAAAGCTTTTGTTCATAATTAAATTGTTTTATTTGTTTAAACTCATTTCAATTCAATTCAAACTAGTTTGGGAATAACTTAAATAACAAGAAACAAATTGTAAACAAAAACACATTCCAACATGAACTGGACGGAACCAACATTAAAATTTCCCTTAGCTGACCCATAAGGAAGACAAATAGGAGTACATTTATTTAATGAGTCTATGGTTCGAAGTTCTAATCTGTAAAGCTGAGCTTGTCTTCCATTGAAACACTAACTTTTTCAGTTATGAAGCCGTCATCACAAATAACATAAAAAACAGACAAAAAAACCCTGCACAACTAAAGCTTTAAGATAATAATAATGTATTTATCCAAAAGTCTCCATTTGGTCTGCAAAATGAGGAGTAGTAGAGAGGTATGCAGGTATGAGGACAGGTGTTGCCATGCAGGATTTGTATCCCAAAACCAGTATTTTTAGACCATGCACGGGATTAAAACAGAATAAATAAAATGCGATTCAACCCTGGACCTGATTTTCTTTTTTAAACTGCTTTCCAGATAAGAACTAACCCCATTTGCTTAAATTATTCTAGACAGTATTATAGAAAAGTTTGGGGAGTGAGCTGTTCTAGTGGTTAGAGCGCAGGACTTCGGTTCCGGGTTCGAAACCCCCCAAATCACCTATGGATTTTATAATGCCACAACCTTTAAGTAACGTGAAAAAACCTCAAACTCGGGCGTAGGGTCTAACAAAAAAAAGAAAAAATTATAGCAAAGTTGAAAGAGTTATTTAAATTTAACCATTTAATACAAATAAAGCTCACTCGTGATAGACAGGAAAAATTCATGCGGGATAAACGGGATTTTTCATTGAATTAAGGAGGGATAAAACGTGATTTTCTTTACTCTGTAAGCTGGTCTTTAGTTTTGGTCGTGTGGACACACTGATGAGGAGTTTATGAACTGTGTGGTATGCAGCGAAAACAATCAGCAAGTACAAAAAATTGTAGTAGAATATCTTCTAAGTAGCCACAGCGATGAAGAGGTTGTCTCCATATACCTACTAAGGTGTAAACTCATACCTCACGGAAATATCGTTCCATTTCACAGTCCTCATCCACAGGGAGGGTCGTATAACTGAAGATCGGATAATCGATACTCTACTGTTTTAGTTTTAGTGAACTATTAAAGTAAGATGGTGCAATCCAAACTGTCACTAAAAAGAGTTTGTATTCAGCCTTTAGAGCTGTTACACAAATAACTGTTGGATAATTATGTCTGTTGCTAGATTCAATTCTTAAAATTAAAAAGTAAATCTTTTTTATAGGTGCTATTATTTCACAATTATAAAAATATCAATGCGCTTATTACTATTACTTTACCAAAAAGTTTAAAATGTTTAAAAGACAGAAATTTACTTGTTTCAGACAATGCGCTTTGCATATTCATTCTACACGCTGCTAGTCAATGCTCAACAAGGATGAATAGGAAACTTGATGCTGTCTGCTGTTACTTAGTAGTGATTAATTATTTGCTAACTTATGTTGCATAGTGTTTGTTATTGCTAACTTGTGAATTGACACTGGCTATATTCTTTAACACTGATAGCGTTGCTTACTTAAAAGAAATATTATTACACTAGTATCGGTACAGCTAGGGGAGCGAGTTGGTCTAGGGGTAGAGTGTCTAGGCTTCAGTGTGTCTGAGGTCTCGGGTTCAAATTTTGTCAATCCCCAATAATTCCTCTTAGCTGCCCTTATTACATGGCTGCAACCATTCTAGCTTAACACGTTGACTGCGCGCGCCGACAAAAGTCGGCACCAGGCCAACAGAAATATATTGAGTCAGTGTGAGCTTAGCCTCAGACGGAGACGTTATAATCGTTGCCAGCCTGCCAGCTTAGAATGCGAGCTTTACTTTGGTGTGGGTTGGTACTAAAATTTCCCGTAAAATCCTGTCTGGCAATGCTTTTGTCCCGGTTTCGGGGATTTTTTCTCTTCAACCCACATTACAAAGACACTGGATACGGATCCGTGCAGTGCTGCTACCTTTGGGTGTTTCAGTGAACTACATCCACTCTCGGGGTAACGCAGCACAGTCACCACTGCTCTTTTGTGATTCGTCAGACTGAAATATTTGAATGCCAATTGCGTTCGCTGATTCGGTTGCGCGCCGGGGCTTCGCCCGCCACTGGGGAGCGCCTGTATAGTCGGCACGCGCAGTCAACGTGTTAATTAATATGTAAATCGGTTGGGCCACAGCATAGCTAGGATGTGAAGGGGAGACATATAGTAGTATTGTTGCAATGACTTTTCCATCTTAATAAGTACTAACTAATGGAAAAGTTCACAATTATTGGAATAAGATAAAGACTTTGTATTTATTTTAGCTCGATAAGTTCAGTGGAATGTTATTTTTTCCTAGCACTGTGAGAAAGCCGAGTAGGTAATAAATTCATACCGAAAAACCTCAAAATTTTTATTTAACATTACCAATCAAAGGCGAGAACAGCTTCTGAGCTGACTGTTGCCTCTTGACTCTCTTGGTCCACTCGTCGACACCCAGGTTCTTGAACTCCGCCAGGTAGACCTTGGTAGCTACAAACTGCCCCGTGTGAGAGGCTAGCAGTTGAGAGTGCGATGGAGCCAAGTCCTTCACAATTGCCACTTTGTTCTTGTCGTCAGCTGCCTTCCACAAGTCGTCAAAACTGCGAGACCCAAACTTGGTCTGTGCCAGTTCCACATAGTGACCCTGGAACGATTGCTGTTACTTACATTGATGTATTGTCAAATCACACAATTTATGAAGGTGGACACAATTTTGTCCCTTAACATAACCAAACTTCCACTAACGGCTGTCAGTGTTAGTTGTTCATAAGATAAGGTAAAGGAAAAAAGTCATGATCATTATGGAATTAAACAGGTTGACTTTTTTATGATAAATAGTCATGGACACGTCTGGAATTCATCTTGTTCAAAAGATGTATTAAACTAATCAACTAACTAATTAGCGATGTGGAAAAGAGTGCTCGCTTTGCAAATCGAAAGGATGCTGGTTCAATCCTGAGAAGTCAGTAGTCTACTATAACACTATGTATGGTATTCAAACAACAAGTCACAGCTGATTTCAGTAAATTTTGATCTGCAGTTTTCATTGAAGCAGGTATGTTTGCAGATTTAACACACATTTTACGAGTTTAGCCGTTCACTTTTTCTATTTTATCAGACAAAAAGTATGCCAAAGGACAAGGGCTTCGGTTCTAAAGACCTCTTAGGATGTTATTTGAATGAGAAAGAGCCCACTTTGGCACAAGAATCACAAAAAAGATAACACGAAAAATTAGGAAATATCATTACCAGGGTGAATTCTTTCCCATTCAGATCAGTCGGCTTTCTAACAAAATTTCTTACCAGACAATATACATTAAATTAATTAAAATGCATGCATAATATATACATTAAAACCATCAAAATATATTGTACAAACCAGAAGTTTCTTTATTAGTTTCTGTTTGTTCTTTTCTGATATGAGCTCAGACTGCAGGAAGTCTTTGGTGATAAAAGATCCATAGATGGAGGACAGTACAACTGCCAACTCTGCTGGTTCATGGGCTAGGAGAGAGTTGACAAACTGTAACAGGACAATGGTAATGAAACTAGAGCTGATGAAACATCACAAGTAGGGAATCCAATCCCATGATCCTGCTGTCCAGGATTATAGGTAATTCCTAGGATGAAAATTCAGAATCTAAAGATATGGGGTTGATACATATTCCTTACTCTGTCAACATATTATTTTTAACCACCTAGGTCTAGTTTCAAACTGTCTTTAATCTTACATAAAGAAGTAAGGCCCACATGGCAACGAGAGCCAACAGTAACACTACAAACTAGGCCATCTTTAGACAGCCTTGCTCAGACAACTTAAACCTTTACATGAGAAACTTTTTGATGGTTTGAAAGTGGACCCAGTAACTCCTGACCATTAAGCTTTTGATATGTGTTTCTGGCTAAATGATCAGCAAGTCTTAGATAGTAACAAAGATACACTTCATTCTAGACTCATTTTTGGACACCCAGCTGTACTCTTATCTCAGTTGATGAACAGGATGTGGCATAAGAGATTGAACAGCTTCACTCGTACAGTACTCCGGTTGTGAAGACACTGTTGAGTCTTGTTCTCTTCAGCAACTCTTACCGTTTCAATTGTTACGGTATCTTGTTTTGGACCGAACAACATTGAGGTTATGCTGTGTGAGGGTTTTACAAAAACTGCAAGTAAATGAATGGGACACAAAAAGATGTTTGCCGGTGGTTCTTTATTCTGAACAACGATGCAATTCCCAGTGCAAACACAACATTTTCCAGTGTTCTCAACTGACCTGTGTTTCTGTTTTAATAATACGACCGGTACCCCTTTTTTCAAATTTTTAATCTACGATTGCATTATGTTCGCGTTGTGCAGAAAAAAACTACTAGCAAAAAGCTGTTGGCGCACAAATCACTGTTTTTACCTCAAAGTTATCCAGTCCAAACCATGATATTGACCGAAGACTTAACAGTGTCTGCCTCCCCACTTCATAGACAGAACACTTGAGAGTGAAACTGCTGTACTTTAAAATAATTAGGGATGTACGTGTCTCGAAATCTTCGGGAAATTTTAAATCTCATTCTACAAGATAAGATTTTATTTTGATCAATGTTTTTTAAGACGAGATTATAAAAGAAAAAGAAACCATTAAAAAAGTCAATGCAATACAGGAGCATGTTGTTGTGTTTTCTGTGCGAAGGTGTATTTATTTAATTCCTTACAAATATTACTTTAGGCCTAAATGTTTTATAATTTTTTTGTTTTTACGTCCCAAATGATGAGTTTTGTTAAGTGTAAGCAGTGTAAGACATGTTTCACTACTGTAAACATGGCCAAACACCCAAAACAGTCACTCCAAAATCATTCTAAAAATAACACAAGACTGAAAAATTGTAACTTGATACTTGACTAGTAAGACTGATGTTTTAAACTAATAAATTTTGTATTTTTCAAAGTTGTAATATTGTAATTTAATATTTAACTAGCAAGGCTTTATGTTTCAGACTCATAAATTTTGTATTTTTCAAAGTTGAATTACATCCAAACTGATATCACCACGTTTCCTATGCCTAAGAGTTTATTTTTAATAAGGTAGGCCTAATTAGTATTTTGTTTTCTTTACATACTGATGTTTTTTAATAATATTCTCGATTTTAAATTTTGAATTAAACATTTTTTTAATATTGTTACCTGATATTAGTATTTTTGTATTTAACTAGTCATCTGTCATAAATCAGTTGATATTTAACAATGTTACAAAATCAGGTTAAAATGTCGAACGTGCTTTTCCCGTTATGTATGAGAGATTTCCCGTCTCAAAATTTTATGAGAAATAAAAATCCTGTCTCGTCTCGAACTAAAAATACAATCTCGTCCATCCCTGAAAATAACATCTAGCCAGCACCTTTTCTTACCTTGATCGGCTTCTGGAAGTGCAACATTGCCTGCAGGACCTGAGACCCGGGCCTTGTGGGTGTTGTGGGCTTATCATGAGGTAAAGGCTGCAGAGACAACACAGCCGACACCAACTGCTTCTGATCACCACTCGCATTATCACAGTTCAACATCTTCATAAGGGACTATAAACAATAGCATTTCTGATAAACGAGTGTTATTAAATCCCACAAGCAATAAGTGTGCCTGTATATTTTTTACATTTCTCTTACCAACATACACTTACTCTTGATAATACTAAACTTATTACGGAATGTAAATAAAAGAAACGTCTTATAACACTTAAAACATATATTTACACAATACGGTTAATATACGATAAAGATGGTTAGTGGTGATCGATTTCGATTGGAGTGTCCAATCAAAATCGATCACCACTAACCAACTTTATTATATATTTACTGTCTTGTGAGTAACAGTATAAGTGTTATGTTTTAAAGTATATGTTTTAAAGACATTTCTTTTATTTACATTCCGTAAATTTAATAACTCGTACAATGCTGATCAAGAAGTTATTTAAACTTAATAACCCAAACAATGTCCAATTACCAAAAATAATGCTAAATCTAACCTATAAGCTTATAAAATTAGATTTCCCAAGCTTAATTGCACTACTGGGCATTCAAATCAAAGAGTTTATTAATTAGTAATAATGCAAAAAAGTTGTGTTCCTTGAGTACAAAAACCCATTTGATTTAACTTATTAATTTCCATGTACAGCCTGTATCTCAAAAACCTGAATACCATTAAGCATAACCTATGTATTTTAAATTAAAATAGATCCACCTATATTACACAGGTCTAATGGTAAAAAATGTCAGGTAGGCCTACTTAAATTCAATTGAAGAGTAATCAAACAAAGCACGTTAAAGTATTTTGTTTAATAATCTAACTAATCGCAGATATGACTGCAGAATCGGACTGGACACTGCGACTGGAAAGACACAGACTCCTACATCATGTCATAATTCAAACCAAATTCCAGCATGTACAGGTTTTAGCTGATGAATCATTCATCAGCGTTAGGTTAAACTATGTGTCAGATGGGAGTCTACTTAATTTGTTTATAGACTTTAGACAGCTTAATTAGATTTTGATAGATTTTTGTTTCACAGCTACACGTTGATTAATAAAATTTAAATTTAGTAAAAAATAAAAGGAATTACAATTCTTAACAGAAAGGAATTCTTTACAATTAAAGAAACTACAAAAGTTCCAACAGCTATAACAGCAACTATAACAGTTCATAAAGTCAAACAGCTCTTAATTATACACAATTCTTAAATAGAAAAATATTGACCAAAACTTGTGGCAATTAACACTGGTGTTTAATTACCTTAGGCTATTAAAACATTTTCTTTGCCATGTTGTTGATCCAAAAATTATTACTGCTTTTAAATTTAAATTAAGAGATGGAAACTCAGTTTAACTGTAACACTGACCTGTACAAAGTCTGATTGACCTGTTTGTAGTCTTCTGCAGCCCACAGCCAAGCTGACGAGGACATTTTTATTGACTGAAGAAAAATGTGGTCTCAACTGGTCCATCACTTCGGTAAACTAAAAATAACAATTGTTTACAACTATTATTTACAATCAATTAAAAAAATTTCAACACATTTAAGGCCTTCAAAGCATGATAAAATTACCAATCTAGCCTAATGTCATATAGGGACAAATAAATCTGTTATGTACAACCCATCACAGTTGACATGGATAGTTGATGTTAAACTAACTGAGCTCCAAAAGTAAAAATTAAAAACTTCAGCCATTCGGCATTCACATAGCAATCTGAAGGTTAGCATTCAATTGAAAAGTCAATATCTTTTTAATAATTAAAAACTAGGTCCAACTGTCCATAACCATTCGACTACAGTAAACGATCCTAG